CCTCCCCCCACCATTAGGGAAAAGTTAACTAGTAAATTAAACTACTAGTTGTATTGTTTAATAGCTGAAGAAAGCTGTGGCTTTTCCCTACTCTTCTCAGGTGTCTTTGAAACTCTAAAGAGTCTGTAATGCTAATTCTTTTTTATTGTAAAATGAAACCATTATGGCTATCAGCCTACACTTTTACACTTAATCATTTGGTTTCTCATGTTACTGAATGATGAATTGAAGTATATTAAAATCATTTACCATGAATGACTTTGACTAAAATGTCATCAGAATCTGAATATGGACTTAGTTTACTCAAAGGCTACTTGGCCCCTAACAGTAGGGAGGAAGGCCAGTTCTTTTTGGTCGGACGGCGGTGGGTTTCCCACTACTTAAGAGACATAATCTAATAAGTAATAAACTATAAGCTGCCTAGACCCATGTGTGTGTATTCTTTAATTCTGAGTGATTCTAAACTTTTTATAGCTTCATCATAGTCTAACTGTTCTGTTTCCCCTAGTCTGGTCTGGTGCATGAGTCGTGAATCTTAAGCTGAAACTCCTTGTCAAACAACATAATTCGATAACTCCAGGCTAAAGCTCCAGGACCACATGATGTTATTCATGTACTAGAGCCAAACAGGGGAAAGGCCTCTAAGTTCACTATTCAATAGTTGTTTAAGCATATGAGAGCTGATATGCAAGAGAACAGGGCTGAGTTGATCGAGACTCGTGCAGAGTTGTTGCCCACTGAGACAGCCGTGCCGCATGCTACAGACTCATCTCCACCCGGTGATGATAGGACTGTGACAGAGCCCCCTATTCGTGAGTGTAACAACCCGGCCGATTCTTTTGAGTATTACAACCATGTTCCCCCATTTACTACTCAATTTATGCTTTACAGTTGTTATGTGACTCGCCGGGGTGATTGGTTCGGGTCCAGGTGAATTAGAATACTTAGTTCCAAGGTTTAAAACTTAAGTTGAAAAGGTTGACCGGATGTTGACTTATGTGTAAACGACCCCGGAATAGAATTTTGATGATTTCAATAGCTCTGTATGGTGATTTCGGACATAGGATTGTGTCCGAAAAATTATTTGGAAGTTCGTAGTTAAATTAAGCTTGAAATAGCGAAAATAGAAATTTAAGTTTGGAAGTTTGACCGTGGAGTTGACTTTTTGATATCGGGGTCGGAATCCGATTCTGAAAATTGAAATAGGTCCATTATTTCATTTATGACTTGTGTGCAAAATTTGAGGTCAATCAGACCTGATTTGATAGGTTTCGGCATAGAATGTAGAAGTTAAAATTTCTTAGTTTCATTAAACTTGAATTGGGGTATGATTCGTGGGTTTAGTATAGTTTAATGTGATTTGAGGTTTCGACTAAGTTTGTATGATGTTTTAGGACTTGTTGGTGTATTTGGTTGAGGTCCGAGGGTCTCGGAAAAGTTTCGGGTGATTAACGGATCAAATTCGGACTTAGAACAAAATTGGAAACCTACTACCATCTGATACAATCACACCTGCAGAAATTGGCTCGTAGGTACGAGCTCATGCGACCAGGCGTGGGTTGAGGCAGAGGTCGCAGAAGCGAGTAAATGGTCCTCAGAAGCGGCATTGCATATGCGACTCTGTAACCGCAGAAGCTCAAATGCCGCAGAAACGACTTTCTCCTCGCAGAAGCGGGAAGCTGACTGCAAAAGTGAAAGGAGGCCACCCTTGGAAAACCACATAAGCGGTTGGTTTCTTGCACATGCGAGACCGTAGGAGCGGCTAAGTAAGTCGCAGATGCGGAACCCCTCGGCAGTATACATTTCGAAGGGGTTCCGAGTTTTGCCATTTTTGGACTTACAAGCACGGTTTTGGGGCGATTTTCAAAGGGAATTCATGGAAAACTTGAGGTAAGTCACTTGTGATCATTGTTAGTCAATAATATTAGATTATCCTTGAGTATTTCGACTAGATTACGTATTTTTTAGGTGAAATTAGGGGATTTGGGCCTAGGGATTTCAAAATAAGAAATTCAGATTTGGTGGTCGAGTTGATGTCGGAATTTGGAAAAATTGGTATGGTCGGACTCGTGGTTGAATGTGCATTCATATTTTGTAACTTTTGTCAGGTTCCGAGATGTGGTCCCCCACGGGCGATTTTTGAGTGCAATTTCAGATTTTGTTGGAAAATTAGTATTTTCATATGGAATTAATTCGTATAATTTGTTTTGACTGAATTGAATTAATTGTGACTAGATTCGAGGCATTCGGATGCCGATTCTCGAGGCAAGGGCTTAGCGGAATAAAGAATTTCATGGGTTGAGGTAAGTAATAGTTCTAAATTTGGTTCTAAGAGTATGAAACCCTGGATTATGTGTTATGTGATCGGTTTTGAGGTAACGCACATGCTAGGTGACGGGCGTGTGGGCGTGCACCGTAGGAATTGTGACTTGATCAAATTCCATGAAATTGTGTAATTGAATGATCTGTTGTTATCTGTACATTCTCCGTGTAATAGAGAAATTGAACCACAAATCATGTTTAGATTATGTGTTGGCACTGTAAAAACCCACAGAGGTCGTGTACATATTGAATTATCCGCTAAATTGCTAATTTGTACTCAGTCATAGTTTACTTGTTTATTTTATCTCAGTCTCTATTGTTTCTTGTTGATGCATTATATCATTTCTGTTGGGGCTGATTTTCATGATTATTGAGAGCCCGAGAGACTGGAGAGATTTATGACTGAGTGAGGCCGAGGGACTGATTGTGAGATATTATATTATAGCATGTGATTTGTCCGTGCAGCACGTGAGTTATCCGGGCGGATCCAGATATTATATTATAGTACATGATTTATCCGTGCAGTACGTGAGTTATCCGTGCAGCACGTGAGTTGTCCGTGCGGATCCAGATATTATATTATAGCACATGAGTTGTCCGTGCGGATTATAGCGCTTGGGCTGAAGGAGCCCCTCCGGAGTCTGTACACACCCCAGTGAGCGCATGTACCTACTGAGTGCTGAGTGAATGGAATGGCTGAGTGACTGTGGTCCTAAGAGGATGCATTTGATTTCATTATTGC